TTTCCATTTTTATGGCACGCACAAAAATGCGCCGCTTAATTATTTCATTTAACACACACACGCACACACGCACACATACTTCGATATCGATTTCGACAGTCGCTTTAATTGACGCAGTTTGTCGAACTGCAATTTATTTAATTTATTGTTCATTTTACTTTCAACTTGCGTTTTTTTTTCGCCTGTTTTTTGTTTTTAGCAACTAATGTTTAACATTTAACACGCTGCTCCATTGCATTTCTCTCCATGGAAGAGCTGAAGCGCAACGATTGCGATTTCATTTGTTTTCATTTGATTGAAATTCATTTTCTAATTGAGATATTAAAATTCCACACAAGCCAAGCCCTAAAATCGAATAAATCTGTATCTGGCTGACTGACCGATTGACTGACTGACTGATTGACTAACTTACTGACTGGGTGATTGATTGACTGACTGATTGACTGGCTGATTGATTGACTGGCTGACTGATTGACTGACTGACTGACTGACCGACTGGGTGATTGACTGACTGACTGACTGGGTGATTGACTGACTGACTGATTGATTGACTGATTGATTGATTGATTGACTGACTGATTGATTGACTGATTGATTGATTAATTAATTGATTGATTGATTGATTGACTGACTGATTGATTGACTGTTTGGCTGACTGACTGACTGAGTGATTGACTGACTGACTGAGCTCTAGGCAAAACAACTATGAAGACCATAAGCACTAAGACTAGGCAAAAGACAATCCCAAGTGTGGAAAGACGGTTGCTTGAACATCGGTTTGACAGTGGAGAGGTCACGGTTCCCTATTTTTGTTGTACCCAATTGTTATATTGTTTTTGAGAAGCGATGTGAAGAAATGGCGCAATTGGCTTGGTTTAAATCTGAAGTTTGGGCGAGGGACACAAATAATATGGGTAAGTCATGTACTTGCAACATAATTCATTTGAGCCAGGCAAAGCCGGGTAATTTCTTTTGGATATTAATAATATTTCAATGTGCAATTTTGAAAAACTCGTTTCTTTCCGAAGATCTGTTAGAATTCGTTTGCAACGGTTTATCTGGATTTACTGGAGTTGGCGGCCAGTTTTTCTATGGTTAAGGCGTTATTTGCACTCCCAGTTTGGCATGGTCTGGCGCTCTTCTTCTTCTTCTACCTCTTCAACTACTCCTTCTTCTTCTGCTTCTTCTTTTTCTCCTTGTTGTTCAGCTGCTTGTTCGTGGCAAACTGACTGACAGTTTGAGTTATTGGCCAAACGGACAGCTCGAAAGCAGCAGTGACTAGTCACATATTATTTGTAAGCCGCTTTATGTTTGCCTCCTCGCCCTTGCCCACCCTCCCACCCCCCCCCCCCCCCCCCCCCTAGACCACTCCAGCACCCTTTGCCGCACTCAACGCCTGCTATCACAAAGTGGCCTCACGTTTTGTTGTACTCGCACAAATAGAAAATTTCATGTAGAAAGAAGAAATATTTAGCAAGAAGCCAAAGTCGAAGACGAAGTCGAACGATTTCACTAACACTAGGGCCTAGCCAAATGCTCAGCCAGCAAGTAAACTTGGCTAAAACGGCGACACACACACACACACACACAGACAGACAGACAGACAGACAGCCACGGGTAGCGCAGTGAGCCAAAAGGCCAATAAACCTTTTGAGAAGAGACAGCGTCGAACGCGCGGTGTTGTCTTCGCTGGCAGCCAAAGCGCCAAAAGACTCAGCCACTGTTGCGGCTGTTGTTGTTGTTGTGGTTGCTGCTGCTCATCGATCACACACACACACACACACACACACACACAAACACACGTACTAAAAACAAAAAGGGAAATTTTCAACAAACAAAAAAAAAAGAAGAAGTTTGCTTTTGTTTTTTATTTTCATTGCATGCAAAAGACAATTGAAAGTGCGAGACGACATCTGCTGTGGCTGTTGTTTGTTTTTATTGTTGTCATTATTGTTGTTGTTGTTGTTGTCGCTGCTGCTGTCATTAAATTATTCTAAAAAGCATTCGTGCCGCTATTTGTTGTTGTCTGTTGTCTGAGGTGCGCCGCTTGATTTGTTTTGCCCAGCATTCAACTAGTTGTTGCCAGTTGCCAGTTGCCAGTTGCCGCTGCACCCACAACTTGGAGGCGGGCAGACAGGCGGCAATTGAATAAAAGGGCGTCACATTGGTTCGCCCCCACAAGCAGCTGCTATGCTGATGTTAACTGAGACGCGCAACGGTGTGCACGATCTATTGCAAAGCATTTTGACAGTCGAAAAATTATCGAATACCTGGCTATCTAAGTAATAACTATCGATAAATTATCAAATACATGGCATATCGAAGTTATGACTATCGATCAATTATCGAAGTGTCATCGATAACTATCGAACTTATGATAGTTATCCAAGTTATCGCATGTCGATACATTTGTTGATATGTTTAGAAAATTATAATTTCGTCCGTTATATCGATATTTTCATCGACTGTTTTTTTCAGCCATTCATTGTTATCGATTACTCAAGTCAAATAATTCGAACTAATTGAAGCTTTTGGCTAATCGATATGTCATCAATAGCTTTCGATTTTGATAAATCCAATCGACTTCTGAGCTTATTGACTCAAAATATGTTCTACATGTTTCATGCTACTCTATAGATCGGCATCTTATTGGGCAGCTACTGTTATCGATGAAATTTCTGTTTGATATCGAAAAGTGGTCACAGCTACATCTGTACATAAGCAAATGTTTACTATCTAATCAATAAATGTATAATAAATATGTTAAACAAATATATGTTATTTGCTTTAAGGGTCAATAGATCGATGGAAAAGCTGCCTAAGTTATCGATATGTTAATAATATGACGCCTGCAACTCCAATCGAAAAAATCAAATCAATTTGATAAACACACTAAAATAGCTGCCGAGTGAAACGAGATGCAGATGAGACGTCGCGACAACTAAATTAAATTTCACTCTGATGGATTTTTGTGTGTGTGTGTGTGTGTCGTTGTTGCAGTTGTTGTTGTACGTTCGCTCTGACTAAGTATTTTGTTTGAGTAAAGTAAAAGCCAATTAACATCTTTGTCGCATTAACATGCACAACAGCTAGACGAAGCTGTGTGTGTGTGTGTGTGTGTGCGTGTGTGTGTGGCACTCTGAGTGCCTCTCTTTGTTATGCATTCGTTGTGTTGTTGTTGTTGTTGTTGCCTGAGCCCTGCTGCTAGTCTGATCGGTCGCTTGCAAGAGGCGAACAGCGATAAAAAAACAGCAAAGAAACGAGGCAAATAAAAATAACAAAAAAAAAAAACAAAAGACTTAGGCAACGAACGTGAACCAAGAATGTTGAGAGAGTCGCAAGAGGCAACTGCGGCAACTGCTGTTGTTAACATAGCTGGGGCGTGTTGTGTACGTTGGATACGGAAGTGGCACACACACACACACACACACACACACACACACACACACACACACACTCGTACACACACAGATAAAGAATGAAAGATAGAGAGTGAGCGAGAGCGAGACAATTTTAGTTGAGAGTTCGTCGAAGCAATTCCATAGTCGAGTGGCCAATGCGGAATTCTTTGGCAGCCGGAACCAGTTTTTTTTGTGTTACTTCTACCAATTTTTTATACACATACATATATATATACATATACATTTTTTAGTTTTTATTTTTGCTTTTGATTGCCTTTTACGCTTTGCTTTTTCTCCATATTTCTGCACGCTTAACTGTTCGGCGTTGTATACCGTTGCAAGCAAGCGTTCTCGACATGATTTGCCAAAATGCATTGCCCCCTTCTCTCCGCTTCTCATTCGCCCAACAACCAATCGAATTGAAGAGCGAAGCGGCGAATTGCGTGGACGCTACGCTTGCTCCCTAAAGCCAAGCCAAAGTCGTGTGTGCAGCCTGTGTGCCACAGCTGCCCCGGCTACCCCGGCTGCCCCGGCTATCCCGCCTCCCTTGCTTGGTTGCCCCATTGTGGCAGCGGCAGCAACCGTTAGGCGTCCACAAACAAACTTATGCAACTGGGCAGAGTACCGTTATTGACTGACAATAAACTGAAATCGATCCGCTGCCCAATCGGAAACCGATGAATCGAGACATCAAACAGAACAAGAAGAAGAACAATCGAAAAACAGGTAACCGAATCTAATTAAAACGCATGCAACAGGTGTTGACTGCAGCAAACTGTAATCTTTACATCGTATTTGATGTGTGTTTGAACAATTTAAGCAAAGATTTCAAAGCTTTCTGAAATTCGAGTCTGCAGCAGCATTTTACTTGTATCATGTTACAGAAATAAGCTATTCTCCTAATTTACATTCCGTAGAGATATGTTAGGGAAATGCATCTATTTTGATATATTATTATCTATACTTAATATTTAGAAGTTGTTTCATTGCTCCACAAATAACTTTTTTTACAAAAGAAAAGAACATTTCGTGGAATATAATGGAACTTAATATATATATATATAAATACTTTTGAATGTATAATTTTGAAGAAATGCTACGAAATTGGCGTGGATAAAAAATTAAAATAACTTTTAAACGAATTATACATTTCGAACGCCAACTGCATTACGAATGCGGCTTTAGCTGAATGTTTGACTCTTTCAAGGTACTTTGACTGGCTATTGATGAGCTCATTGCATTGATTTATTGAATAGATATTCTATTAATATAAATAATGAGCACATTTCGATGCGAAACTAAAAACAACGTCGAATAACTAACTGAATGTGCAGCTAATGGCATCTCTCTCCCTCTCGCACACTCACCCTCACCATCTCTCTCTCTCTCTCTCTCTCTACCTTTGCCGGCGCAGTAATGCAATAAAGTCTTTTCCAACACATATCTATGTAATCAAATTTACCGTTGCGACTTCTTATTGGCTCGGATTTGGATGGCAATGACATTTGGCAGTGACCGCAGTTATCGGTAATCGATAGCTTATATGTAGCTGTGTGTATACAAACATTCATACTTGTTGCATGCTCATTCATCACTCACTTGCTTTGTTGTTGTTGTTTGCTGCTCCCTCGTTTCAGTTAACTGTTGCGCTCCCCGCTGCCGCTGCCGCTGTCGCTGCCACTGTTATTGTCCACGTTTGTACTTTATATGCTTTCTTTGTATTCGTATTTGTATTTGTGTATTTGTGTATGTGTATGTGTACGTGTTTGCGTTTTGAGCTCTGCTTTTTTCAAGCGTACCGCGTTCTCTCCTGCTTCTAATTCTTTTGCTGCTGCTTTCTACGTCACTTCGTCACACACATTAAAAGAATTCTACTACATTTCATACGTTTTGTTGTTGTCGTTGCTGCTGCTGCTGCTGCATTGGCCTCTTCTCCAAAAGCTCTCTATGTGCATATGTGTGTGTGCGTGTGTATGCACAGGTAGATAAATAAATCAAATATGAAATATCAAAGCGCGCACTTGCAAAAAATATATATTAAATACTACAATTTGTGTTTATTTTGTGACTATGTGTGTGTATGCAATAGTAAATCGTGGCACGCGCGCACTTAAAAAAAAAAAGTGTTCAAATTAGACCGACCGATTCTGCGCACACGACCTGCCAGTAATAAAACAGAATTAACAATAAGCGCCGAGCGATGCTCGCGTTTGCTCTTGTCTAGGTTTGTTCGATAACAGACAGTTATGTGCAGCGCAATATGCGTTATGTTATCGATGGTGCGCACGTAGCGCCAACAAGCGGCACAAATTTGCGTTAGCAGTGCTCTGTTAAACTGAACCTACCAGACATAAATCTATGCCAACTCAAAATGGCACTGTTATAACAAGCTAAATGTACTGTTGTGTTAACAGCTCAATTGAGCAGCAGCAGACAAGCTGAGCATAACAGTGTCATTTGCAGAACAGCAACCAATTTAATTATTTAAATAAACAAAAATTCAATTAAGCCGTGAACCGTGTGTATGTGTTGGTTCACCAAAAATTAAGCCCAACAATGTCCACAGCATCCGGATCCGAACCGCCCACCAGATGCAGCAAATGCCAGAAAGAGACAACAACCCCAACAAATGCAACCGAAGCTGCCCACTGTACCGATTGTGTTAACCTGGACGCAGCAGCAGCCGAGCAGCGATTGGCGAAAACTGAGGAGCCTGTGAAAATGGAAATTGATGCCGATTTAACCACTACAGAGACACTGGACGAACTGGATGAGCTGGACGACAACAGGCCAACGATAAATATGCAAACGAATGCCAATGGCAAAGGTATTGGGAAGGCCAATCGGAAAACAGAAGAGCAGCCGCCAGCCAAGGAGGAGCCACCACACGCCACTCAAATCTCCAATGAGGCCAACGTGGCTGAGGTCAAGACGAAAGCAAACAGTCCCGCTACAGTCAAGGCCGAGGCCAGCCTTCTTGCCGATGGCGATGCTGCCGCTGAAGATGTTAGCGCATCCAAGATGGCGGAGGCCAGCCCGGCGGAAGCGGCCGCGTCCCAGACGCCGCAGCGCGCTGGCAAAGTGACGCGCAGCAGCCTAAATGGCGCCCGATCGCCAACCATAATCAAACGGCTGCGCAAAAGCACGCGCAGCACACGCTTCAAATCGAAGCTAACGGGACGTGGCAATACAAGCGGAAGTGGTGCAATCAATGGCCACAATGGCCAAGTCGTCGGCGGTGCTGCCGCTGGGCAATCGCCTGGCGGTCCGTCACATGCGGCCGGCGGTGCCAAGGCACATGGCAAAACCGGAGCTGGCGGCGCTGGCGCTGCGTCCGGTGCACGCAATCGGCGCACCCTTTTCAAGCGTCCCGCCCAGAAGACGCCGCGGGTGCAGGCCTGCACGCAGTTCGTGAAGAGCGTGTTCTACAAGGGCAGCTACATGCAGATCGGCGATATTGTGAGCATCGTGGATAGCGAACAGAACATATTCTATGCCCAGATCCGGGGCCTACTGGTGGATGCCTATTGCGAGAAATCGGCGTTTCTCACCTGGCTGATACCCACGCAGGACAGTCCCGATCCGCAGGAGGGCTTCGACCCAGCCACCTATCTGATTGGTAAGCCATCAAAATTGCGAAATATTGCAAATTGGATCTCATTGCTTTTTCTTTGGTTTCAGGTCCCGACGAGGAGCTCTCCCGCAAACTGTGCTATCTGGAGTTTGTGATGCACGCGCCCAGCAATTACTACTACGATCGGACGACGCCCTTTCCGCTGCCCGATGTGGATGAGTACACGACGCACCGCACCGGCGGCTATATCTGGACCCGATTGCCGACAGTCAAACGGGAACGTGAGCGTGAGAGGGAGCGGGAGCGTGAGCGCGAGCGCGATAGGGAACGGGAACGCAAGGCGGCTGCCTAGCAGAGGCCTAGGCTTAGGAGGCGCAACCTTAAACCTAGGCTTACTTTTTAGATGGCAACAGCTTAATTTATTGAAGTATGCGTTTAGCACATAAGAAACTGATAAAAACACAAAAACTGGGCTAAGCCGAGTATTCTGTCTCGGACTATCTCCTCCTTTTTTCTCCTTCTCTTCTTACTCTGAAATGTAGCTGGGTGCCAAGTGGTCTTGGGGGCGGGCGCGTTGGGATGGGATTAGTGCTTCTCTTCGTCATCGGCGTCGCAATATTCGCGATAGGCGCGATCGGCATCCAGATCCATCTCCAGCTGGAATCGTGCTGCGGTTGCCTCCAGATGCTTGCGCTTGCCGCGCTTCGGCTTGGGCGGACGCTGTGGCTTGGGCGTGGGCTTCGTTGTGATCGGGGGTACCACTCTCACATGGCTGTGGATCGGCGCCAGATGCTCTGAACTGGACAGCTGTTGGCACAGCTGCATGCGCTCCGCACTGACCGCCTCGGCGAGAAGTATGCGCAACGCCAGTTGGTCATCTATCATGCTGCTGCTCAGGGCGGCTGCCCGGAAGGCTCCATTTGTGGGCTGGCTGGCGTCTAACTTCGGCAGCGGCAACGGCGGTGGCGGCGGCGACGACGGCGACGGTGGCTGTGGCTCGACGGTCTTAACATCCTCCAGTTGAATGGCTGCTTGCTGTGAATGGGGCATGAATATGGCTGCCTGTCTGGCCGCGCGGAGTTCGGCAATTACCTCGTTAATGGCCGCCTGGAGGCGTGGCGTCACATGAATGTCATTCGCATTGCGGGTCATCAGCCAGCACTGCTCGACGACATCGACAAGCAGGTGATAGATCATCTTAACCAGCTCGCGCAGCAGGGCGCTGCTCACGCTGGAGACGCTTTCGACGGTACGATTGATTGCCTCCTTGTTGCTCTTCAGCAGCGGATCGAGTATGTCGTCATGGATGAACTGACTGCCGCTGCCCAAGCTGGGCAACAGCCAGCACAAAATGAACAGCTTGAAGCCACTCAGGAAGGGCACCCACGGCTCCAGGCAGCCGGTGAAAAAGTGAAAGGCATTGAAGACACCAAACACAATCCAGTATTTCATCCAGGATACCTGTGAGCGTAGGTTACCGTTCAGGCTATTGTATGTCGCGAAGGCCGGATATAGCCAGCCGATCAGCATTATGATAAACTCGTAAATCATGTCGAAAATAATTGTGGTTTTCTTTTTTTTTTTTTTGGTTTTTCTTTTGGTTTCTTGGTTTCTAACGATTTACGCCCGGAGAAGTCACTGAACCACGGCACACGAAATTTATGAACAAAATTTCCTATTTCTATAATTTCGATATTTCGGAGCACGCCTCTGTTTTTGTGAAAGCACTGTTTCAAGTGAGCTACACACCTCTGCTCCAAATACAACAAACTATACAATTAAAACGATGACTACTTGATTTTAATTAATTTGCTTTCGTAGCTTTCAAATTGAAAATCAAAAGCCCGCTATGTAGTGTTGGAAAGTGCTGGCATCAAAATCGCTATCGCATCGTACAACTCACGCAAAACCTGACCCCGGCACGGCCGCTATTTCGACTAGAGATGGGCATTCGACAATTTTCTATCAACACTCGAGTTCAGTGACAATTTTACCAATCTTGACAAAACATGAAGTGAGCATTGTATTAAGTAAGTATTGTTTCCTATTTCTAGTAGTTATTGGATAATTTTATTTTGTTAATATGGCATGTGCACACGAACGCGTCATGTTGAATCGTGCAGGTTCGTGCCACGATGAAAGCACGACATGCGTCCAACTTTAATATCGGCAGCGCAATTTCGACGTCACAGGCTCAATGCCAATTGACGTTGCTCTTATTTGCGTTACCTTCTCTATTGCGTTAATTCCGGCGTCATATTTTGAAAATGGAAGCCGAAGCAAATATTTCATGTGAAGGGGAGAAATGCTTTAATTCGCCTACTGCGCGCCTGAGCGATGTGGATGACATCTCCGATATTGACGTAGAAGATGTTGTAGACAAGTTGCACAAGACGATAACATCGAAACCAGTCTACGATGAGAAGAGAAGCATTTTCAATACCACACTCGACCTGGCGGAAGGTAAGCCAAAGACCCGCCCAAATATAAACAAACATATCTATATATATACCAAATTAATTTTATTATTTAAACCTTGCAGCGGGATCTATTTGTGAAACAACCGGTGCTGCCATTGAGGCGTATATGGAGAGCGTTGTGCAGGAGAAGCAAAACTGGGAATCGTTTGCCACCAAATACATGCACAGGCCGGGCGCAGTTGGACCTGCGGGAGGCGTTAGCTACAGGCCCAGCGAGGAGCAGCTGGCCTACCTCAATCAAGGCCCCAATCTGCAAGGCTTCATACGCGGCTTTAGCACGTTCATGAACGATGCAACGACATTTATGCTAGAGTTTGAGGATATCCAAGAGATGCAGGAAAACCTCAAGGAGTGCTGTCAGTCCCTGGCATGCCAAATACAACGCATCAGCATAGCCGAATCCCAGACAAATAGAATGCGCGATGAATGAAACGAATTTGTAGTTGCTTCTTTTTGTATAGCTCATAAAAGCATTAGTTATAAACAGGTACAAATGGAACATAAACAAAAATTTTATGAGCTCTACAGGCTAGCCAACAGCAGTGTGTGTGTGTGTGAGAGTGTATGTGGTGGCAGTTTACTCCTTGTTCCAGGCGGCCAAGTACTTCATTAGATCTGTAAGGCTCTCGAAATCGGTGCGGCTGTTAGCTGGCTCCTCTCTGCTAATGCGCGGCAATGCGTTGCCCATTTTCATGCGAAACTCTTCAAACTACAATAAATTAAGTGAATATATTAATAAAACCCTTGACAAGCGTGTGCATGTGTGTGGTACGTACATCCTTGGCGCCGCTCAGTTTCCAGAATCCATAGCAAAAGGCGCCAGTGCCCAGCACCGCGTAGAGTGTGCCCCATCCGAGGGCGCGCATGGCCAACGTTGCGCCCTCGTCCATTAGTATAATGCCCTGGCGTGTGCCCTGCTGCTGCAGCACCTTGCTGTCCGACTTCTTGGCCGTGGCTAGTGTGCGCGAGAATCCAAATAGTGCAGAGATGCCGCCGACGAGACCCATAAATGCAGCCGCTTAAATTCGGTATGAAATGAGTTTCTATTCGGTTGACATATTTTGCTGTTTGATTTATGTATTTAGGTACCTTGGATGCGAAATTTGCGCCGCTTTTCCGCTTCCACTGCATCTACGGCGGGGCCGGCTTCGCTCATCGTGAAAAATCTTTGCTTATTTTGATAATTTTTTTTTATTGTCGTAATCGCAGGTCGTGAAAGTCGTTGCCCCAACGATAAGTCGATAGGTATTTTACCGATGAAAAATAAGTGATAAGCGATAGTCACGAAAAATAGTAGAATGCAATTTAATCAAACATCCACGCTTTAAAAAAAAGAATAATTAAGAGGATCGCCGAAATTGGATAATTACGATAGTAATACCTATGGGTGCAACCGCGAAAGAAAATAAATTTTTAAGAACGTGCTTTTGTAACGTGGGCCACAATATTGTTTTTAATTTAAATTTATTATCGATTCCCAAAAATCATTGCTGAACATCGCAACCAAAAAACATCGTTTAGATATCGGCACTGACGCGAGCATCGCATCGATACAACAATCTTAATTTTTCTGTAACGGCAACTCTAGAATGGAAAGAGAGAAATGGTTAGAATTGTCATATAAAAAAAAAAAGACGTCAACATTGTTGCACAACAAGCTCAAATCAAAACCAAACTACAAATAACAAACTGTTGCTTTGCGCAACAAAAATTGCCGCGAAAAGTGTTGCCTTCGATAACGCTATCGAACAAATAGAAAGGTAAACGCAGAGTTGCATCGCGCTCAAATCGGACACCCACTAAATTTTTTAGTGCGCTTTACGGACTGCGTTGCCTCGCGTCTGCAATTGAAAAAACGCGGATTTAGCAGCTAAAGTCCATATTAAAGTGTATTCACAACACAACACAAACAATTGTAATAAAAAATGCACTAAAACAACGCAACAAACGCCAACAACTTATTGTTTTTTCCTGCAACTTTCAAGCGTGTGCCCATTGCGCTGCTCTGTGGCTTTGTCACGCGTGCAAAATTTTCATCAGCTACCCCGTGGATATAACTTAAACTTTTCGCATCGCAATGAGCACCACAACGGACTCGAAGGCGCCGCTGCGCCAGGTGAAGCGTGTACAGTTTGGCATTTTGTCACCTGACGAAATCGTAAGTACCCTCCATCCCAAAGGTGAAATGCGAAATGTGAAATCGACGCCATATTGAAAATCAATTGTCGCACTCAAGTAAACAAGATGCACGCAATGATTCACTAGAATTATCGACGGCCACTTAGCCGGAATTTCCCAACTTTTGCCAAATCCTTGTAGTGGGCAGGGGACTTACAGTTTGTGACGAAATCATAATGCGATATCGCCTATATGTGCATATATTCCAGACCCGGATCCGATATGAGAATTGAGCATTCAAGTTGTCTCCAAGAACTATGTCCCAGACCTAGCAGCGCATTCTCAGAGTTTAGTATAGTCTTATAGTATATAATAATCCCATATAATATGCAGCTCGCCAGCTTCCTACTGCTTTCTTGGCGCCCATTTCCTCGGGGATTAGATCCGATCGCGCCAATCAACGACACGTTCGCACGTTATGTTACTTTGGTCTTTCGAAAAACTTAAAATAACCTTTTAACCTGTCGTTAGGCAGAAGGAAACCTGCAAAGATCCTTAAAATAGCGCACAAATTCTGGCATAAACTCACAATTTAATTGATATCTTTGGATTTTTTTTGCATGACATTCACGGACTTATCCGAACTTGTCGCAGGTTCTGTTCAGGGTTCGAGCCAGTGCCCCACTTTAAAGTACCTTTCGCATAAAAACCTAACCTCAAATTAAGTCTCTTGAGGCTTTATATTTTACTATTGCCGGGCTGTCTGCCTCCCTTTGATCGTGTTGATTATCAATCAGTCAGTCATCATCAATCAACAATCAATCAGTAAATCCATAAACATATTATTCAGCTGAAAACAGGGCATAAAAAAAGGCCGTCATTTTACTGAGTATCTGCATTGGTTTTTATTAAATATATGTAACAAATTTTGATATTAATTTTCTGCTGCTTCAGCGCCGGATGTCTGTGACGGAGGGCGGCGTACAATTTGCGGAGACGTTGGAAGGCGGCCGTCCGAAGCTGGGCGGCCTGATGGATCCGAGACAAGGCGTCATAGATCGCACATCGCGCTGTCAGACGTGCGCCGGCAACATGACCGAGTGTCCCGGACATTTCGGGCACATTGATCTGGTCAAGCCGGTGTTTCACATTGGCTTCATCACGAAGACAATCAAGATATTGCGCTGCGTGTGCTTCTATTGCTCCAAGATGCTGGTATCGCCTCACAATCCCAAGATCAAGGAGATCGTTGTCAAGTCCAAGGGCCAGCCGCGCAAGCGTCTGGCCTACGTCTACGATCTGTGCAAAGGCAAAACGATCTGCGAGGGCGGCGAGGATATGGATCTGACCAAGGACAATCAGCAGGTCGATCCCAACAAGAAACCCGGCCACGGCGGCTGCGGCCATTACCAGCCCTCCATACGTCGTACTGGCCTCGATCTGACTGCTGAGTGGAAACACGTGAACGAGGATTCGCAGGAGAAGAAGATCATCGTGTCCGCGGAGCGCGTCTGGGAGATACTGAAGCACATCACCGACGAGGAGTGTTTCATACTGGGCATGGATCCCAAATATGCCCGACCCGATTGGATGATTGTCACAGTGCTGCCCGTGCCGCCGCTGGCTGTGCGTCCGGCCGTCGTCATGTTTGGCGCGGCAAAGAATCAGGACGATTTGACCCACAAGCTGGCGGACATTATCAAGGCAAACAACGAGCTGCGCAAGAACGAGGCCAGCGGCGCCGCCGCGCACGTTATCCAGGAGAACATCAAGATGCTGCAGTTTCACGTGGCCACACTTGTCGACAACGATATGCCCGGCATGCCGCGTGCCATGCAGAAGTCCGGCAAGCCGCTGAAGGCAATCAAGGCGCGTCTCAAGGGCAAAGAGGGCCGTATCCGAGGTAATCTTATGGGAAAACGTGTGGACTTCTCGGCCCGTACGGTCATCACACCCGATCCCAATTTGCGTATCGATCAGGTGGGCGTGCCGCGCTCCATTGCACAGAACCTCACCTTTCCGGAGCTGGTGACGCCCTTCAATATTGATCGCATGCAGGAGCTGGTTCGACGCGGCAACTCCCAGTATCCGGGCGCCAAATACATTGTCCGCGACAATGGCGAGCGCATTGATCTGCGTTTTCATCCCAAATCCTCGGACCTGCATCTGCAGTGCGGCTACAAAGTGGAGCGGCATTTGCGCGATGACGATCTGGTGATCTTCAATCGACAGCCGACGCTCCACAAGATGAGTATGATGGGGCATAGGGTGAAAGTGCTGCCCTGGTCCACGTTCCGCATGAATCTGTCCTGCACATCGCCATACAATGCTGATTTCGATGGCGACGAAATGAATCTCCATGTGCCGCAGTCCATGGAGACACGCGCCGAGGTGGAGAACATACACATTACACCGCGACAGATCATAACGCCGCAGGCCAATAAGCCCGTCATGGGCATTGTCCAGGACACTTTGACGGCCGTTCGTAAGATGACCAAGCGTGATGTGTTCATAACGCGCGAACAGGTTATGAATTTGCTCATGTTTCTGCCCACCTGGGATGGCAAAATGCCGCAGCCGTGCATCCTGAAGCCGCGCCCGCTTTGGACGGGCAAACAGATATTCTCGCTGATTATACCCGGCAATGTGAACATGATACGCGCCCATGAAACTCATCCCGACGAGGAGGATGACGGGCCCTACAAGTGGATATCGCCCGGTGACACCAAGGTCATGGTGGAGCACGGTGAACTGATCATGGGCATACTCTGTAAGAAGACGCTGGGCACATCTGCCGGCTCCCTGTTGCATATTTGCTTCCTGGAGCTGGGCCATGACATCGCTGGCCGGTTTTACGGCAACATCCAGACGGTCATCAACAACTGGCTGCTGCTCGAGGGCCACAGCATTGGCATTGGCGATACCATTGCCGATCCGCAGACGTACAACGAAATCCAGATGGCCATCAAGAAGGCCAAGGACGATGTCATCAATGTTATCCAGAAGGCGCACAACATGGAACTCGAACCGACGCCGGGCAACACGCTGCGTCAGACTTTCGAGAACAAGGTGAATCGCATCCTAAACGATGCTCGTGACAAAACTGGCGGCTCCGCCAAGAAATCCCTCACCGAATACAACAATCTAAAGGCCATGGTCGTGTCCGGCTCAAAGGGCTCCAATATTAACATCTCACAGGTGAGTGTTCCATAGCTGAACTTCACGCGCTTGAGCTAATCCCCTAATCCCCGCCCGTTCAGGTTATTGCTTGTGTGGGCCAGCAGAACGTGGAGGGTAAGCGTATACCGTATGGCTTCAGGAAGCGCACTCTGCCGCATTTCATCAAGGACGATTATGGTCCCGAGTCCAGGGGCTTTGTGGAGAACTCCTATCTGGCCGGCTTGACGCCCTCCGAGTTCTATTTCCATGCCATGGGCGGTCGTGAGGGTCTCATCGATACGGCCGTCAAGACAGCCGAAACCGGCTACATTCAGCGTCGTCTAATCAAGGCTATGGAGTCCGTGATGGTCAACTACGATGGCACCGTGCGTAACTCTGTCGGTCAGCTGATTCAGTTGCGTTACGGCGAGGACGGCCTCTGCGGCGAGCTGGTCGAGTTCCAGCATATGCCCACGGTCAAGCTGTCGAACAAGGTGTTCGAGAAACGTTTCAAATTCGATTGGTCCAACGAGCGCTATATGCGGCGCGTCTTTACGGACGATGTCATCAAGGAGATGACAGACAGCAGCGATGCCATACAGGAGCTGGAGTCCGAGTGGGATCGCCTGGTCAGCGATCGCGACAATTTGCGCACAATCTTTCCCAATGGCGACTCAAAGGTGGTGCTGCCCTGTAATTTGCAGCGCATGATCTGGAACGTTCAGAAGATCTTTCACATCAACAAACGCCTGCCCACGGATCTGTCGCCCATGCGTGTCATACGCGGTGTCAAGGGTCTGCTCGAGCGCTGCGTGATCGTCACCGGCAATGATCGCATCTCAAAGCAGGCCAATGAGAATGCAACTCTGCTGTTCCAGTGCCTCATACGCTCCACGCTGTGTACCAAATATGTTTCGGAGGAGTTTCGGCTGTCGACAGAGGCGTTCGAGTGGTTGATCGGTGAGATCGAGACGCGTTTCCAGCAGGCTCAGGCCAATCCTGGTGAAATGGTCGGCGCTCTGGCCGCCCAGAGTTTGGGCGAACCGGCCACCCAGATGACATTGAACACTTTCCATTTCGCCGGTGTCTCGTCCAAGAACGTAACACTGGGCGTGCCCAGGCTCAAGGAGATCATCAACATATCGAAGAAGCCAAAGGCGCCCTCGCTAACCGTTTTCTTGACGGGCGGCGCGGCACGCGATGCGGAGAAGGCCAAGAACGTGTTGTGCCGTCTGGAGCATACGACGCTGCGCAAGGTGACGGCCAATACGGCCATCTACTATGATCCGGATCCGCAGCGTACGGTCATTGCCGAGGATCAGGAGTTTGTCAATGTCTACTACGAGATGCCCGACTTTGATCCGACGCGCATTTCACCCTGGCTGCTGCGCATCGAGCTCGACCGCAAGCGCATGACGGACAAAAAGCTGACCATGGAACAGATCGCCGAGAAGATAAATGTCGGCTTTGGCGAGGATCTCAATTGCATCTTCAATGATGACAATGCGGACAAATTGGTGCTGCGCATACGCATCATGAACAACGAGGAGAACAAGTTCCAGGACGAGGACGAAGCCGTCGACAAAATGGAGGATGACATGTTCCTGCGCTGCATCGAGGCGAACATGTTGTCGGACATGACGCTGCAGGGCATCGAGGCCATTGGCAAGGTGTACATGCATCTGCCCCAAACGGACAGCAAGAAGCGCATTGTCATCACGGAAACGGGCGAATTCAAGGCCATTGGCGAGTGGCTGCTCGAAACGGACGGCACCTCCATGATGAAGGTGCTCTCCGAGCGCGATGTCGACCCCATACGCACCTCGTCCAATGACATTTGCGAGATTTTCCAGGTGCTCGGCATCGAAGCTGTGCGTAAATCCGTTGAAAAGGAAATGAATGCCGTGCTGCAGTTCTATGGCCTCTACGTGAACTATCGCCATCTGGCGCTGCTGTGCGACGTGATGACGGCCAAGGGCCATTTGATGGCCATTACGCGTCACGGCATCAATCGACAGGATACGGGCGCCCTTATGCGCTGCTCCTTCGAGGAGACGGTCGATGTGCTAATGGATGCCGCCGCCCATGCGGAAACGGATCCCATGCGTGGCGTCTCTGAGAACATTATCATGGGACAGCTACCCAAAATGGGCACCGGTTGCTTTGACCTGCTGCTGGACGCCGAGAAATGCCGTTTCGGCATCGAGATACCCAACTCCTTGGGCAGCAGCATGCTGGGCGGCGCTGCCATCTTTATGGGCGGCGGCTCCACGCCCAGCATGACGCCGCCGATGACGCCTTGGGTGAACTGCCATACGCCGCGCTACTTCTCACCCTCCGGTCATGGTAAGCTACCTCTCTCGCTCCCTCTCTATTGCCATCTCTTTTGCTTACGTTTACGTTCTTTCTCTCTTTTTGTTTAGTGAGCGGCATGACGCCAGGCGGACCCAGTTTCTCGCCGTCGGCCGCATCGGATGCATCGGGCATGTCGCCCAGCTGGTCGCCAGCGCATCCTGGCTCCTCGCCCAGCTCACCGGGTCCCTCGATGTCGCCACATTTTCCGGCCTCGCCGAGCGTTTCGCCATCGTATTCACCCACATCGCCCAACTATACGGCATCTTCGCCGGGCGGTGCATCGCCCAATTATTCACCGTCAAGTCCGAACTATTCGCCGACATCGCCGCTTTATGCGGCCACCAGTCCACGGTATGCGTCGGCGACGCCCAATTTTAATCCACAGTCGACCGGCTATTCGCCGTCGTCGTCCGGCTATTCGCCCACATCGCCTGTGTATTCGCCCACGTCGAATTTCCAGTCGAGTCCATCGTTTGCTGGCAGCGGCAGTAATATGTATTCGCCGGGCAATGCGTATTCGCCGAGCTCCTCAAACTATTCGTCCAATTCGCCGTCTTACTCACCGATGTCGCCGTCATATTCGCCGTCGAGTCCATCGTACTCGCCAACGTCGCCCTGCTATTCACCCACCTCGCCTTCGTACTCACCGACTTCGCCGAACTATACGCCCGTTACGCCTTCGTATTCACCGACGTCGCCCAACTATTCGGCCTCGCCGCATTATTCGCCAGCATCGCCGGCATACTCACAGACGGGCGTCAAATATTCGCCAACATCGCCGACATATTCGCCGCCGTCGCCGTCGTATGATGGTTCACCGGGCTCGCCACAATATACGCCTGGTTCGCCGCAGTACTCGCCGGCCTCACCAAAATATTCACCAACATCGCCGCTGTACTCGCCCAGTTCGCCGCAGCACTCGCCCTCGAACCAGTACAGTCCGACAGGATCCACATATTCGGCGACGAGTCCACGCTACTCGCCCAACATGTCCATCTACTCGCCGAGCAGCACCAAATATTCGCCCACATCGCCAACGTACACGCCCACAGCGCGCAACTATTCGCCCACATCGCCCACATCGCCCATGTACTCACCGACGGCGCCCTCGCACTACAGCCCCACGAGTCCCGCCTACTCGCCCAGCAGTCCCACATTTGAGGAGAGCGACGACTAAGGCGGCGGCCGACCTTCCTTTTAATTGGAGGATTCGCATTGACTTATCCATCAAAATCCAGCGACAGTCCCTATCTATATATATATATAGAATACTTAATTGTCTTTGTGACGGCGGCGGGCGGCCTACGGTAGAGCAGAGCCGGACACCTCACGCTATTATGTATCTATATCTATAACGATATCTATGATAATCACACACGTATGTATATGAATATATGTGTAGGTAGTTTCTTTTTTTTTCGCCTTTCTGTCAGTCGATCTATTTAAGGGCGATGTTATTCAATTTTATACATATGCAACAAATCCTCCCACAAATATATAATCTTTTAAGTTTAAAGCGCCCCCGATTAAGCACAATGACAAAACGATAGTCGTAATATAAATAAAAACAATTAATCAACATTTTTGTAAATCACAAAAAGTTTTAAGTATTCATATGTCTGTATAAGGTATATATAGGTATAACTCTGATAAGTCGAGTAGTTTGAGTTGAGAACAATCCAGTTAAATCCAGTTACCTTCATTACGAAGGTATATACATATATAAAATTGAATCGGTCTGATGAGGAACTAAGCCTGGATTCGTATACATCGAGAACGAGTTCTTGAATCTCGATCCGTTAACCGAACCTATTTGCGGAATCCTTAATCCCTATTCCTCCTCAGATGTATAGACATGAGAGCTACGAGAGTTACGATTCAAATGTAAATAAAAAAAAGAATAGGTATTTGTATTTGCCATAATAGATAAACCAGAGTAGTTGTACAAGTAAGTGCCGTTATGCTACATGGGGTAGGGTAAACAATATCGATACGAACTATGATTAGTATTTGGACAATATATATATATATATATATACATATATAATAGATAGGTATTGGTAAGTATCTAAGCATGTGTGCATATTCATGTATATATATATATATATATATGTATATAGTATAGGTAATCAGCTACTAGTAAAAACTCTTAACTAGGGAATATAGCCAGAGCCCGAAGTCGAAAATATGGACACGTAATGCTCCCGGTATTTCGATATGATACGAATGCTTAATGCTAAGTAGAGGCTACTCTTAGGTTCTATAAGATAAACTAGATATGATTAGTGACAAAAAAAAACTGGTTGGTACATTGAAGACTAGACTATACATGGGGCTAGGTCTGGAACTGGAACTGGAACTGGAACTCGGTCTGCGGCTGGGTGTGGATCTGGGGCCTGCAACTTGGGATGGGGCTCGTAGGTGGTTAGTTTAGATAGTTCGACGACGAAGTTGTTAGAGTGTGACTAGTATTGGTTTATAATTGGCTTATGAGTACTCTGATTGCTTTCCTGCAGCTGAACTGGTTCCGGAACTCGTTCCGCAACTGGCAGCAACTGTTGCTGCTGCTTGCGCGGTCAAGCGACAATATCGCTACCGGGATTGTAGCCAAAGTAGTTGAGATTAAAGTCATCGCTGAAGAGCACCTCCTCCTCGGACGGCTCCACCTGGTGCGACATCTGTATGCCCAGCTCCATGGGATCAATCTCGGTGATGTAGTACTGCGAGTGGCTGAGCGAATGTTGCTGTTGGTGCTGCTGTTGCTGCTGCTGGCGCAGTCCGCTCTCGTTGACCACGACGTCCTTGTGTATGGGATTGAGATAGTCTGCGGGAAGCAAGGCGCACATTTATGAAGAGACCGAAGCGAGCCGCGAGAAGCGGAGCTACTCACCATTGTCGAGCAGCACGTCCTGGTAGGTGCTGATGATGGAGTTGACCGACTGCACCTCCACCTCCCGATGGATGCCGTTCAGTATCTGGCCCGCCGTCTTGCGCAGCTCCTCGTCGCTCAGCAGATCGCCGAAGGGCAACAGGCGCTGCGGATTGTTGTGCGTCTGTGATGTGGGCGATGGCTCGCTAGGCGCATGCTGCAGCATCTCCTGCGTCAGCGCCGCAGCAGCTGCAGCTGCCTCATCGTAGATGCAGCTCGATTGCTGCTGCGGCTGCTGCTGCGGCGACTGGCAATGTTGCTGCTGCAATTGTTGCTGCTGCTGCTGTTGCTGCTGCTGCTGCTGCTGTTGCATTTGCTGCTGATGCTGTTGTATGCGCTCGCGATTGATCGATTCCATTTTGAAGAACAAATCCAAGCGTTGCTTTTTCTGCAATTCAAACAGTTAGGATCGCGCGTGCAGTTCGTGCTTGAGCGTACTTACATGCTCCCAGGCGAGCACATTCTCCGCGGAGTCGCCGCTGGATATGGCCCACAGGTGGCCGGCGCCTTGGGGCGCCTTGACGCCCTTGCGAAAGTGCGGATTGATGGACAGATTGTGCCGCACCGAGTTCTTCCAGCGATCGTCGTTCGATTTGTAGTACGGAAAGCGATCGCTGCACGAAAGCGAAAGGGACAACAACATGGACACAATGAGAGCAGTACCAGAAGAGAGAGAGAGGGGAAGAGAGAGAGAGAGAAAGAGAATAATTAGCATCGCTTGCTTGAGCACGTTTCGCAAGTTCTCTCAAAATCGATATTTATCGATATAGTATCGAAAGTGATCGAGGATATACCAAATAATTGGCTATAGGCTATTATATTTTATGGTATAGGCTTTTATATTTAAGATTTTCTGATGCTTCTCAGATGACTTCTTCTAGGCATATATATGCACATATCTATATAAACTTGGCACGGTTCCAAAAATGTATTTGTGTATAGATAACTTCGGGCTGGCACATCTCGTGATAAACTTATACTGTCCACTACAATGATTGCCTTTGAAGGACAGGATATCAGAGGGTAAATGACACATTCTCACATATCTGCAAGCCCATAGAAAAATGTCTAGAAGGGTATAGAATCGTCGGCTTGACGAAGATATGCTTACTTTTTTTCGCTCTTCGTTTTTCTTTTCCCTGCTTGGTCCGAGCGCGGATTGGTCAAAAGTATGGGCCAGAGAGGCATCCGATTGGCCAGCCGTGGTCCGAACCTACCCCCAATTGTTGGCCTGGTCGGGCTGCTCGGACTATTAAAACTTTTTGACCAGTTGCAATTAAAGTTTGAATACGGAGTCAACCAGGCAATTTACATGGAACACGTCATGGCACGCCACTGCGGCAGAGCCGCCATACAGCTGGATGGGGGGCGGGAGGCGGGAGGCGGGGACATGGACAGGGACACGGACACGGACAGCGGCAGTGGCACAAATTATGCGTCGTTTTGTAGGCAGTCACGAACAGGCGATTTGGACGTGGAGCGAAAAAAAAGGAATGGAAAGGAAAGGAAAGGAAGGGAATGAAGAAAATGGAGTAGCTGGCGGGCAGGTGGCTGCAGCTGAAGCCAACCCCTGCAGGCTGCCCGACGCTGGCAGGGGTTTAGAGCTATATAAAAGGAAACTACGTCGACCGGAAAGGACATCGCGTGCCAAGCGCGCTCCCACTCTGGGCAGGAACGACGCCAACGCAAGCCAGCCAGGCCAGCTGGGGGCCGGGCTGGGCAACAAAATGGAAAGTATTTCACAGAGCAGGGGAGAGCTAGGAGAAGGGGGCTTGGTGCACACGCGCCAGGTCCGAAAACAACCCCCGCAGCAGCAGCAGCGGCAGCAGCAGCGCTTTGTCATTGGTTAACTGCTGCTGCTCCCTGCCGGCAATCTCTCGCCTCCATCCGTTCCGTCGGGCAACTCCTACTCCGAGCTAAAAAGCAATCCAACAATTTTTTTGTATTTCAACACGCGAGGCGCCCATTGTGGGCCGCATATATATATATATATATATAGGCATATATCTATATAGATTTACTTCCTCCTTGTTTTTTTTTGGGTAAAAATGACGACTCATAAATGAACTGGAACGGAATGAAATGGAATGCATAAATCTAAGCCTGGGCTCTACGCCTGACGCTTGTCTGGCTCAAGTTGAAAGGCAGCGTCAGGCAGCTCCTTAATGATCCCTCCACCCCCCGCCCCCACCCCCCCCTGATAACTGTCATTCGGATTGCCACTCCCTCCGCCCACGCAGACGTCATGACGCATCAGCCAAGGCACACGCCCAAAAGGATGGCACTTCAAATTGGTTGAGTGGAGCGAAGCGAATGCAGCTTGGACTTGATTAGAAGCCGGCTCCAGGCCCACGAGGTTCACTATTTTACGCTAGAAATTCGTAATAAATGGTTTCGTATACAACTCGGTACTGGGCATTGCGAGCAGGGGGGCGGGCGGGCGAAATATGAGAACCTCATATGTGTGTAACACATTTAGCTGACAGTTTTTTATTCGTTATCATACCCTATACCTCCTAAGAGGGCATGCTGAATATGTGAGAATGTGTGTAACAGGCAGAAGGCAGCATCTTGGATCCCATGAAGCAGATATGTAGGTGTGTTTCATGTTCCTCTTCTTTTCGATCTTAGATGCTGAAACAACAGCTTGAATATCGATACATATCGATAGTCAAGAGATCGGGAAGCTATCTATCAGAGGTCGATACATATCGAGAGTCAAGAAATGGGCAGAATGTTTCCTGATCTATGAATGTTTGTCTTCTCTTCAATCTCAGCGATAGAAGCTGTCAATATATCGATAACATCGGAAGTCAAGAAATTGGGGAGCTAACCTGGATTCCATAAAGTATCAATATATATCGATAGTCAATGGAAGGGGGCATATCTTGAATGCCATGAAGTGTATAAGAGTATTTCCTGAGCTATGCATGTTTGTTTTCTCCTCGATCTCAGACATTGAAGCGGGCAGAGTATCGATACATATCGTTCATCAAAAGATGAGTTAGCTATCGTTATCAGAAACTTGTGCTTTGAGTGAATTGACTTTGAGTCTCGATTGTGGTTTAACGTTTGATATGCCGATAACAACTCCATCTTTTGAATATCGATAAATATCGATTGTCTGCTTTTGTATGAGCATATCTCTGAAAACATATACATATATATATATATAGACAGACTTGACTGTTGATACTGATACAGATTGATGGAAAAAATCGATCTAAAAATCTGGTATCACATTCTTCAAAGATTTTAGCTTGTTTCCAACAGAGCCTTACGATTTAATTGTTGTGTCACATTATGCTGCGACTAGTCGGAAGATTTGACTCTAACGAGAAGACATTCAGCATATATATATAAGATATCCATTCATACCCAATATGTTATAGGGTATTTGCAGATTTATATGTACTCAAGAACTTCGATATTTTTGGTGCAAAGTGCAAAATTGGTTTGTTTTCTTCATGTTTGGCATGTTTAAGTTATTGTTAGACTCCCTCCGAAATGTGGGCACTGCGAAGCACCCAAATGTACTTGTAAAATTATAAATACGAAATACGGCAAATGGAAAATGGGAAAATGGTAAAATGGGAAAATTGTTGCCAGTCATAGTTGGATGTTGTGTAGTTTATGGAGCTGCATGTCTAGCATGGTTTAATCATGCACTCGGTGCCCCAGGCCAATCGATAGGCCTTATTGTGGGCGCTTAGACAGTGCTACACAAAAGCGTTCGTACACACATTGCAAAGGGTTTTTGTGCAAATGCATGTGACAGGCAGAAGCATCACCCAACCCAAAAAAAAGAAAATAATATACATATGCATATTTGGAAGACGAGTCGATCACGCCGTTCTTCGGTGTGTATCGATTTCAGACTAGACTCTAGTACATATAAATATATAGCCTAATTCCACAGTTAACATTTAATACATTTTCTGTGAATGTGAAATATGTTGCTTGTACGTTTTCCCCTAATAGCCTAGTTCCACTGTCAACATTTTATACATTTTCGGCGAATGTTTCCCAAAGAAACCACATAAGCATTTGCACAAAATGTTGGTGCTGGCCAATGGAATCGCAGAATGTGCTGTTCGTAAATGTAACACAATGGAATCAGGTTAGATAATTGTCGATTTTAAGACTTGGTTCTAAGCCTTATAAGAGCTATATACTGTAGGCTCTCGTATGGGAAAAAACTGCTGAATTTGGATAGGCAAAGCCTTGCATGTTGTTGGATCGGATCATAAGCTCCGAAGTTAAACGGGAATGTATTTGCCATGCACGATGTGCATCTAAGGTTGAGGGTATCTGCTAGTCGATCAATGTGTGTGCCTTGTTCTCTCTCTCTCTCTCCCTCTCTCTCTCTCTCTCGCACTTGTCGAATTGTCAACGTTGCTTGCAGCGGGTGCTCACAGCGTGGGCGGGGCGGTTGTGTGTGGGAGGGGGGAGGGGGGGGAGGGGTGGCAAGAGAAATAAAATCAAATATCCACTATCAACATTGTCATCATTGTCAATGAATTGAATGACTGAGTTCCCATTCACATTCGCATTCGCCTTCAGCTTTTGGGCCTCGAATCAAATTGTCGAAACACACGGCATCGGGCTCCCGGGGCAATCCACCCGAGAACCCCCTTGCCCTTTAAAACGAAGCTATCATATAGAATAAACTCGATTTGATCCTTGCGAATTTTCAGTTTTATTTCATATACATATATATTTTGATTGTCTCGGTTTCGATTTGGGTTTCGCAAATAATGCGAGTGGTCGAACAGGCAGCCGGACTGACAGGCTATCAGCAGGCGCTTGTGTGTTGATATGAGTGGGTGGAGAGGGGGGTGGTGGTGGGGTTGGTGGATTGGGCTTGGGCCAACTGTCAGCTACTCGCAGCCTATTGCCCTGCTGTCCAGCCCCGGCCTGCTGGCACCGTAAATTGAGTTTGAATTTGAGTTGGCCCGCTTTGTGTCCGGGCGGAGAGTTCGGGTTGCGGGCGCAGCAGTTGCCTCTGGACTGGGTCCGTGCCAGAGGCTTTATAAAGCATTCTGTCTGATAGGCTGGCGCTCTAGCTGGTCGCTTGGACTGGCTGGCTGGCTGGCTGAATGGCTGCCTGACGGGCTGGTTGGCTGCCCGTGCCGTGTCGGGGCGTGCCTGGCACGCAAGCCAATACACACACACACACACACACACAAACACTCTCACACACATTTACATTTTTGACATGGCGCCCAGAAGCTCCTCGCCGTTCGGGCAACCAGTACCCCAGACTGGGCAACTGCTTCTCTGGCGGTTTGTTTCGAGTTGATTTCGCCTCTTCTTGTTTCACAACATGCATATATATATATATATATATATATACATTTATATATAAATGTATTGCAGCTCAGTTCATAAATTGTTGCGGCTGCCATGCCCCTTCGCCCCGCATCTGCCCCTCTGTCGCAGCAGTCGCCGAAATGTGCAAAATTTATGGATTTATGGCAGCCAAAGTAGTTGCCTCTGCGCTCAAGTCAAGAAAACTTTTTAAATAGCAAATGGGGCGTAACTGGCCACGCCCACGAAAAAAAAAAACCCAGAAGCCAGCACAAGCAACGGGACAAACTCTGTCAGCTGCCCATTCAAGATGTCCTCCACAATCAGAGAAGCATTACTTATTTCTCACTTTTATGAATTCATTTATAGATTTAGATATGATAAGAAAGCGATTATAGATCGGAAGAGAAGATTTTAATTAGATATATAGAGAAGCAAGGGTATAGAATGTATGTACGATTTGGCGAATAGTGGAGCTCGTCTTTGGCAGACTTTGGTGAAGAGCAGAAAACATTTATCCAAACAAAAACTCATACTGTGATATATATGATCTGGTATACTATATTATATAGAAGTCCCATGCAAAGAAGATACATTATACATATGACTTGGTATACTATATGGTACGGCATATGGTATATGATATGATATGGTATATGATATGATATGATATGATATGCTATGATATATATGGTATATTATATATATGATATGGTATACTATATAATATAGAAGTCCCATGCTAAGGAGATTTTACAAAGATCAGTGAATATGTTTTCAAAAACCAGAACATTTATCCGAACAAAAACGGATATATATATGATATGGTATAGTATATGATATGATAATGTTGATATATGATGTGCCATACTATATGACATAGTGTTCATATGTTATGAAGATTTTGCATAGTCTGGTTATCCATGCAAAAACTCTTGCGCTATGATATGTGTGGTGATATGGTATACTAGATGATATGCTATGATTCATATGTTGAGAAGAGATACAAAAACTCAAACTATGATTCATGTTATATGATATACCATATATATGATATGATATATGCGAAGTGGTAATGATATGATATGATATGATATAATCTGATATGCTATCATATAATAAGATATCATATAACTAATATGATGCTCTCTATATTCCATTCTATAGAAGTCCTATATCAAAAAGATTTTCCAAATAAGTTGAGAGTTAGTCAGAGTAAGGGAAACAAACAAGTTTCTCAATTTTCGACCCAATAAGCTATAAGAAGAATCTGCAAGAGTTTTGGCGTGAAGAATCGAACTTTCTGCTCACTTTTCTTTCAGCTAAAAGCTCCTCTCTATATATATTGGATTCGGGTATTTCTCGGTTAGCATATTTAGTGGGAACCTTTTTGCGTTCCAGATCCTGCACAACGTCTCCTGCCTAATGCAGCCTGCACCCTGCACCCTGCACCCTGCACCCTGCACCCTGAGTCCTGTGCAATGAGCCATGATCCGCATCCAATAAACACTCAATATGTAATTCAAATTGACCGGAAGAGCAGTACCGACTGGATCGGAGTCGTGCACGAGCTGGGACTATGGGTTAATGGGTTGACCGAGTAATTGCTGGAAATTGTGCGCCGAGTTGCGCTTGTCAAACACCTGATCCTGATGCATTGAGGCGTGTAAAAGGTGTAGAAACTCCGGAAAAGAGTCGAAGCGGGCCCTAAAACGGCGGCAAACGGCCAACCCCGCCAATTAATAATTATGCTAGGCATATGTGTGCGTGTGTATATAAATTTCATGGGCAATTGCCACACACACACACACACACACACACGCACACACACGGAGAGAGAGGTTGCGGGGGTTCGCGTGGGCGATTTGCTGCAATGTTTGCGCAGGCGCCCTTTTTTTTTGCCTTGAACGCGTCCCTGGCGATTGCAGCCCCCTTCGCCTAGCTGTGCGCCAACCCCTCGGCAAACCTCCACCCCCCCCCCCCCTCTTGCTCCACCCACCCTCCCAGGCACTTTGCTGGCGCCCACAAAGTAAATTTGTGAATGGTTAATGAAAACTTCCCAAAAAAAGAAAAGTTCACTAAGCAGGCGCGAGGGAGGCGAATCTATGAGGGGGGTTGGTGAAGGTGGTGAGGGGGAGAGGGAGGGGAGTTGGGATTTGGTCGGTCTGCTGGCTCATTACATTTAATGAACAGGTTGCCCGAGCTGCGGCCTTTGCCCCAACCCGCGCGCAGCTGATGGGTAAATGTCATAAATTGCTGGAGCAGAGGCAGAGGCAGGGGCAGGGCTATGGGAGGCGAAGGTGGGCAGGGTTTCTATATACATTTACATATATAGGATATTTACACGCAACATTTTCGCTGTGGCTTCAAATATTTACAGTGATTCCCCCTCCCCGCGCCAGATTGGGCTGCGACTAGGCCTACAACTTTGACAATTTGTGACCTCCTCACCCCCTACTGAAGCAGGAGGGGCGGGGGGGGGGGGGGGGGGGGGGGGTGAGGCAGGTGGCAGGGGCTAAATTAATGAACCTTGAAAAATGTGTTAAAAGTTTTTTATTATTGTCGTCATTTTTATATATGGGTGCATGGAAAGTTCCTTTTGGGGCTTTTCCCAGTTTCTGGTGAACCCCCCCCCTAACCCCTTGTAGAGGGTGGCTAGGGAACCGAGGCAGTCGGTAAAACGAAACGAATATGCATTACCAATTAAAAGTTCTCGAACTAAAACGAAAATTATTCACTTCCAATTGAAGGAATTTCAGCTCAGCGAACGCAAAGTATCCAAAAGAATCTTTTCGTTTTTTCTCAACCTTCGCAAATTGTTGGCATTCGCAAAACGGGTTCGAACCAAGCCAGTTCAAACCCTGAATTTCAGCCAATTTTCGAGGGAATCGAAGTGCGAATCAAACCTTGCTTTTAAGCTCTTGCAGAGGGTATTATTCTAGAGAGTATTCCATATAACTGTTTTCCGCTCATTTTCCACTGTTTCGGGTGGAATTTCCCGAAACCCCGCCTCAACGTTCACGTGTGTTTCTGTATGACTCAATATTCTGTTTTTTCTTCTCAAACTCAGCACTTACGAGTTTCTTTCCCCTTGAGCTTATGTCTGCAAAGCCCCAAAACAAATGTCTAGAAGGGCATTAAATCTTCGGCGTGCCAAAGATATATCCCTACTATCTAGTCTCTCCACATTTCAGTTATGCAAGAGATAAAATGTGAAACGCTTCTGGTGGTCCATAAAAAAAGGTTCTACAAGATAAATTGGAATAAGTAAGGGAGCAAAACTATAAAAATATAAATGGATATTATTTGAAAATAAAATATATTGCACGGGCTTGAACGTGAATCACTTTTGAATATCTTCATTTTGCAATACTTATTGTATCTACCCCTAATACTAGGGTTAAAGCGTAGAGATCTTGATATAGGAAGTAACTTGTTGAACTACAACAACAACAACAACAACAACAACAACAAACAACTGTGTTTTTAGAATCAAAGCGAATGCGAACGCAAAGACACAAAAAGTACAATATGAAAATGGCAAAAAAACAAAGAACTTGGCAAGAATTTTAACAGGTAATAAATTATTGGAGCTGGCAAGTTTTTAGCACTATATTTGTTGTTGTTGTCGGTTGTTAGCCAAACATAAATAAAATAAAAAAAAAAATAACAAGTAAGAGGTTCAAGTCGGGAGCTCCCGACTAGGGGATACCCTGAACCCTATTTTATAAGCTATATGTCAAATTTGATGACTCAGCTCTTATTATTTAACAAAATTGCCCAAAAAACAGGATATCGATATCGATTTTTATCGATTGCTTGGAAACGGAGCAAGTTATCGATTATCGGAAACAAACTCGATCTGCGCGGGAACTAGGAGCATCTACAGTCTCTAGCTCTTATAGGTTCTGAGATCCTTGCGTTCATACATACGGACGGACGGACGGACAGCCAGGCGGACATGGCTAGATCGACTCGGCTATTGATGCTGATCAAGAATATATATACTTTATGGGGTCCTTCTGCCTGTTACATACATTTGGCTTTTGCACACATACAATATACCCTTATACCCATTTTTAATGGGTTCAGGGTATAAAAATAAAGGGCAGTAGAAGAGGAAGCCAAGGAACAGGAGAAACAGGCAACAAAAGTGGCCAACGGGAATGCGCCAAGAAATGCTTGAGATTTGTTTAATTACATCCGGCATTGCTGCACACACACACACGCACACACACACACACACACCTGCACACACACCTGCACACACACCTGCACACACACCTGCGAACACCTGCACACACACCTGCTGATGCCCCCGCCCCCCGCACACACAGCAAATGCTTTTCCACCCCAGCAAAAGCCAACTCAATGTGGGTGGATGGGATGGGCAATGGGTGGTTGAGGGTGGTTGGGGGCTGGCTCGACTGGCTGAAATCGTGGATGTTAACGAGTACTTACGATATCCATTGGTATATGCCCGACACCGTCAGCTCACCCTTGTCCTCGAGGGCGTATTCGATGAGTTCCGTGTATGTAAACGGTGGTTTCTTTGGCCTGCTTGTTTTGCGGTGGTTGGTTCGTTGTGCGTGGGGATGGGGGGCGGGCGGGTTTGGTTGCGGGTGGCCACGTTCAGCCACATCGATTGGCGCCGCATCGCACAAGAGAGCCGCCGAGCGAGAGAGAGAGCGAGCGAGAGAGAGAGAGAGAGAGAAGAAGAGAGACAAAAAATACGTCAAATAAATATTTATTAAAATGGAGTTGCGTTCGGTTAAGCGGCTTTCGTTTAAATTCCGCAAAAATCTACAAAAAAAAAAAAATAAATTTATAAACTAAATGTTAAACTTAATCCAACTTGTAAAGCTCTCAATATAAGGCACAAATTCCTGGCAGTGGACAAGCGAAAGCTCGCAAGTGTTTGGAGAAAAATCAACAAAATGCCAAATCCCTCGAATAGTCTTGACGGAATTTTGGGAACTTTCGGAGACAAAGACAAATATTTATTTTTATCATTTTATTCTTAGATAATATGCTGCACAGCATCGAAAATAGAAAATATCCTAAGTCTACGGCATAGTTCCTGGGTTAAGCCCGAAGTATTATTTATTATTCCTGTGTTAAGCCCGAAGTTTTTATCATAAATGTTTAAAATGCTTCGAAAAAGATCTGAAGACTTATACTTTACTAATCAAGTCTGGACTTTTTTGATGTGTTGCATTTATCTTGTGCTTGGAAAGGAACTTTATGGATCCATGGGAATAATCTTAGAATGTTGTCTGCATAAAAGCCAAGGCCTTAAGTCAAGCTTAATATAAAGGATTGCAAGTACTTTGATTACGGAGGAAATCGGAAATACTTATCATAGATACAAGATCGTATTGTGGTAGGTTTCCAATCTGAGATCTTTCTACAAGGAATAATCTTACAGCTTGAATCTTGGCTACAGATAGATAGAAGATAGAAGCTAAGCCAAAAAAAGCTAAGCCCGATTACTGAGGTCGAGTCTCATATGGGGCATTGCAAGTACTCTGATCGGATTTTATTGCCCGTAGCTGTAATATGAGCCTTAATCTAGTATCCAAAGGAATAGTTAGTTCCTTGCTTGAATGTTGCCTATAGATAGACCACAAACCCCAAAATAACTCATAATGAGAAATGTTGCACAATTATAGGATCTAGTATCTAAACGGATTATGAAATGGAGAGCAGTTATGTGAGCCTCTCCTCAACTTGAAGAAATATTGCTGCACGCCTTGCTCTTAACTGCAGCTCGGATGTTGCCTAAAGTGAAATCAAACCCGACAATAGCTAAATCCAATACCTAAAGTGCCATTCGGTATTTGGAGCTGTTGTTGGGAAGAGTCCCATGCCTAAGGATCTGTATAATATGGAGGATTGTTGAAGTGTTCTTGGTAGGAGTTCGGTAATATGATTTGAAAGACGTTATGATCTAGTATCTGTTATGATAGCTCCGTCTCGGGAGAGCAAATACCTAAGCCTCTCAACTGAGAGCAGGGAATGCTCTTGAAGGAATGCTCTTGAAGGAATACTCTAGCTCCAAGTCCTAAAGTCAAGATTGTTGGTAAGAGCTGTTCTTGGGGCTACCACAGGGTCTTATATTATTCTGACTGGGCGGCGCTCGTACTTACGCCTTGGACGTTGTATCCTCAATGACGACGTGCTCGGCCACAATCATATCGTTGCCATCCATTTCCGAGGTGACCTCCATGACCAGCTCCTCGAACTTGCGGCCAGTTCTGGTCGGTGTGGTTATTGTTGTTGTGTTTGTGGCTACTGTTGCGCCTGCGCTTGTCGTTGTGTTTGACGGAGATGTGCAGCTCTTGGGTGAGCTGCGTCCGCGCGGCTCCAGCTGCGTTGTGTGGCAGCTGAGCGACTGGCTCGAGTTGGATGTGCTCGCCGAGGCGGATGCGGATGCGGGTGAGGCCGAGCTGCTGGGCGATGCGTTTGACATGTGTGCTGTCGCTGTGGGCGTGGCCGCCTCCAGGCCGGCACCGTGTCCATTGCCCAGCCGGGCAGCGCCGCCAACATCCGGCGACAGATGCGGAAACTCATCGAATTTGAAATTTAGCAGCCAGGACAGATTCTTGTCCTCGAAATCCGGCTCCGATTCGCTGGCCGCCGGCGAAGAGCGTCTGCCACAAGCCACGGGCCGACAACCAACCTGAGCCTGTGTCTTCTGCGGAACGGGCACCAAAAAGCTGGCACTGGACACCAGCTCCAGCTGCTGCTGCTGCTCCTGATGTGGCTGTGCTTGCAGCTCCTGCTGCTGCTGCTGCTGGGACGGCGGCGGCGGCGGCAGCGTCGCATTCAGCTGAGAGAAGTCCGCCTGCAGTCCGGAATTGTAGCGATGATCCAGCTCGAGCAGCTCACCCGTCTGCCAGCCGCCGGCATCGGCCTCCAGCGGCGCACTGGGCGGCGCACAGTAGGAGGCGGCGGGCACCAGGAGGCTGCTGTCGTAGGCGAACAGATCGTTGATGAACGAGGCGGCGCCGCTCGATGTGGCTGCGCTGCTCGTGTCCAGCTGCAGCTGGAAGCACATGTCGCCGCCGGCGTCATAGTCGAGATGCCGCTTCTTCCACGGATTCGACGCGAGCTGCTCGTACGGCTCCAGCGGCTGCTGCTCCAGCTGCGTTTCATATTTGCGTTTCAGGAAGTTGAATTCGCACGGCGATTGCAGCGAGTTGCAGTTGTTGTTGTTGTTGTTGCAGTTGTTGTTGTTGTTGTTGTTGTTGTTGTTGCTGGCACTGGGATGCGAGTGCGCCGCGCTGCTGTTCGGCCCATTGACGGGCATATTGACAATCATATTTGATTTTCACCTCACACACACAGAAACAAACAAAAAAGAAGAAGAAGTGCTCAAGAGCTGCAGCAGGCGCCGCAGTAGGAGCAGGAGTAGTAGGAGCTGCAACTAGATGGGAAAGAGTCCGCGCTGGATTCCGTCTCGCGCTGCGACTGGCCACGGAATGCGGCTGGGCGATTGCGTTTGCGTTTGTCGGAAACTTTATTTTTTCTGGCCAGGAGCAACGAGCTGGCAGCAGAGCCTCTGCGATACTGGCAGCAGTAGCCGTGGCAGCAGCCCTGGCAGCAGCAGCGCGGCCTCAGCCTGCGCCTGCTCAGGGCCGCGCCTCTCATTACCCTTGCGCAGTCAGTCAAGCGAAGCAGCTATCGATGACCCCCGACCCAGGCCGCGGCTCCGGCCCACGACCTTTTAGCGTTGCTCAAAGCGCGCGCGCTCTTTACTTTACCCTGTACGCAACAGTTCAATGGGGTCTATTCACCCATCCGTCCGTTTGGCCTTCTGCTGTTGGCAACTTTGTAAGTTCTTTAGCTGTTACAGTTTTAGAGCAACTATGTGTGTTTCTTACAGTTTTAGAACAACTGATCGCATAGCATAAGACTATTGTTAACTTACTCTTAAGATCGAAGCAAATGTCTCTTTTCTCTTGAGACACAGTTAAAAAGGCACCTCGTTCTGGTTACAGTTTGAGAGCCGCTGCTTGCACAGTTTTGAAGCTAGTGTCAGCAGGCTGTCTGCTCATATCTTCAGATTTTCGTAAAATCGGTATTTGCCAAATGTTACAGAAAGTTACCGCCCTAAGGTTACAGTTTTACAGCCACTTTTCTTGTAATCGACCCACCAAAAGCCTTCACTTAGCATTGCGCCTTGCAACAATGTTGATTTTCCAATGCTACAGTTTGAAAGCCACTATTTTACAGTTTTAGAGCAAGAGTCCTGCTAGTTGGCAGGGTAGATTTATAGCCTCCTCAGGGTCAGTGTACTGCTTTGTGGGGGTTACAGTTTAAGAGCCACTGCTCTCATTAACAAGCACTCGCCTTTCAATATGTTTCGAGCTGTTTTCATGCTAGCGAACAGAGTATCGCGCAGTCGGGCACCACCAACGATCCGAGCTAAGTTCTCTCTGGTTCTGCTCGGTCGCGTTTTGGCCATAATCGAACTTGTGCCCGCGCCTGCTGCCTGCCGTCCCTCAGAGGCCCTATCCCGGACATAGCCCATTGCCAATTCGACGACATGTTGACGGGATGGGACGGGTTGGCGGGGCGGGGCGGGGCGGCCATTGAAGCGTCTAATCGCGCCTGCAGAGCGAACACCCTGTCGTAGACAGCCTGTCGAGCTGACTCTCGCACAGGTGTTGCGCAGGATTGGAATGTCTCATGAGTGCCGCACAATTGCCAGGGGTTAAACGGCGACAGAGCGGGAGAGTGGGCGAGACAGCGAGAAAGAGCGAAGAGAGTAGGAGTAAGAGAGACAGAGAGAGGGAGAGGAAGAGAGAAAGGCAAGCTCCCTGAGAGATCTTGCGACTGACAATGGAGCACAAATCCAAGTTCTATTAGATTTCCCTTTTCATACATGTCTAAAATAATATTATGTAAGGTAAGCTAGGGTTTGAACCAAGAAGCTGGTTCAACTGTAATCTGAAATCTTGCAAATGCGACAATGGAGCGTAAATCCAAGTTCCAATAGATATTACTTTTCATATTTGTTCAAAATGATATTATGTAGAGTAGGGTGGGGTTTGAACCAGAAAGCTGGCTCAAATTCAAACTGTAATGATGTCCAAGTATTTTTTGTGCGGATATATATAAGGAATAGATCTGAACATCGCCGACCCCATAAGCTGTATATATTCCTGATCGATCTCCGAAACTACAAGAGCCGGAGACTCCATATTTGAAATATATGTTCTCTTATGTAACTAAGAAAATAAGTTAACTGTGTGCTTTCAATATTTGCCGCCATTTTCATATTATCGATAAATATCGATTTTGAGACATCGTTTTTTGCGCATATCTCGAGAACTATCAGCGCGATATGCATCGGACTTGGTGTTTAGCTTCTCGCAGAGTATACACAAAATAAAAATAGTCAATTTTTTGAATACCTTCCCAATTCTCCATTTTAATGAGAAAAAACGTAGTCTTAAGGATAGAGCCTTGTGCTTAGGTATGTGCATACTTTTTTATGCTTTATTCGAATCCTGAAAATTTCAAATAGATCGAAGTATAAAAACCGAAGTAAGTCAAGAATACATATTCCTTATACAAGCTAGGGCCTAGGGAAGAAAGAGAAGGAAGCTAGAAGCTAGACAAGCGGTCGGATTGTTTTTCTATCTACTTTTTAAGTCCAGAATATTAGAATTTAATATTGAGAATATTTCCAATTTGAAGGTGACAACTTTCTGAATTCCTTTTCGGGCAAACTGGAACCAAGATGTTCGTTTTTCTCTGAGTGTATTTTGCGGAGTAAATCCATTTAATCGCAAATGATTCTGAGTGCTTTTCAGTGTTGTTTACTATCGACAATGCTGACGTCGAGCTCTGTTAACCTGTTCGAGTTCAGGCCGCGGAATGACTCATGAATGGATTCGACGAGCTTTGAGTGAAAATGACAAAGCACTCATCACATATCTAACAGAAGCCGCCGAATTGGGACTCCCGGACTAAATTCGCAAAACATTAAGATAAATTAAAAGAAGATAAAACGGCAAGCGGAAGATCAAATACTCTGCAAGACACGGGGCATAGAAGGATGCTCTGGACTTAAGGTTTGAACCAAGAAGCTGGTTCAAATCGAGAATTAGTTTTATTTAGCTTTAATGCCAATGACAATGGCACGAAAATCCAAGCTCCAATAGGTTTTTATCTTCATATTTGTTGAAAATAATATGTTAGGGTTTGAACCAAAATGTTGGTTCAAACCTTATCAGATATTATCTAGCTCTAGCTTTAAGGGTGAAGGAAGTTATCGGAAGGTATCCATAATGTGAAATATTCTCTATCGGTAGATAAGATAAACTATAAAAGCCTGTAAAAACCCGAAAACTCGTTCTGGATTTAAAAAATTAACAGTTGGAAAGGCATCGGTACAGTTTTACAGGCACTATTCTTGCAGTTTTAAAGAGTCCTTCAATGGCTGGAAAATCTGAAAATATATAGAAACACGCAATAATTGATATTTTTGCCAAAGTTACAGTTGGACAAGCACGGTCTTAAGGCAACAGTTTTGCAGCCACTATTCTTGCAGCATTAAAGTAAAAGTCTTACTTAGATTGAAAATATTAAGATCCAGTCAAAAATATATTTCTGCCAAACTTACAGTTGGAAAAGCCAGGCATTAAGGCTACAGTTTTACAGTCACTTTTCTACTAAAGTGCTTCACTTAACAACGCGCTTCACATACTTGGATTGTCACACAACAATGTTGATTTTTTAATCTTACAGTTGGAAAGGCAGCGCCTTATAAATACAGTTTGAGAGTCACCTTTCTTACAGTTTTAGAGCAGGGGGCGTGATAGTTGACAGGATGAATTGATCGAGCCGCAAAACCAACTTGGGGCGTCCTACAGTTTGAGAGCCACTGCTCTCATAGCCAAGCAGTCGCCTTTCAACCTGTTTCGAGCCATTCAATTCAATTGTTTCCGAGACAAATTGAATCATATTTTGTGCAGCACCCGCTGGCAGAGTATGAGGCGAATTCTAGATTAAAACTTGTTTCTGTGCGCTGAGCGACCCCTCCCTCCCCCTACCCTACCCCGCTGGCAATTGCGTCAGCTGAGGCGAGGCGTGTGCATGCGATAAGAAGCCGCTGCCTCCGATCCGGCGGGCAGTACCCAAACGTAGCCGGAGCCGAACAGAACGCAGAAGATGTCCCGCTTGATGCTCTTGCTCGTTGTCGGCCTGCTGTTGGCGGCGGCGCCGGCGGCGGGTGGTAAGAAGGGGCGCAAGAAGGGCGCCGACTGTCCGCAGATGAAGCTGAAGCGTCAGTGGGGCGGCAAGCCGGCGCATGGCATCAACTACCAGGTGCGGCCCGTGCGCTTTGTGGTCATCCATCATACGGTGACAAGCGCCTGCTCCGGCTTTGTGCAGTGCGCCGAGCTGCTGCAGGGCATGCAGAGCTATCACCAGACACAGCTGGACTACCACGACATTGGCTACAAGTGAGTTCCAGCTTGGGTTAGCTATCTGCCCGGCACCGGCTCAATGCGCTGCTCAGCTTTCTTATAGGCAACGACGGCATCGTCTATGAGGGCACCGGCTGGGGCATCGCTGGCGCTCACACCTACGGCTACAATGCGAACGGCACGGGCATCGCCTTCATTGGCAACTATGTGGGTGAGTCTCCCCCTCCGTCTCCCAATACTGTCGTGCTGAGTCTTGCCTTCTTCCTTGCAGACAAGCTGCCCGCGCAGGCGGCGTTGGATGCGTGCAAGAAGCTGCTCGCCTGCGGCGTGGAGCTGGGCGAGCTGAGCGAGGATTACGGACTAATTGGCGGCTCCCAGGTGATAAGCACACAGAGTCCGGGCCTGACGCTCTACAATGAGATACAGGAGTGGCCGCATTGGCTGCCCAATCCTTGATCTGGGATTAGGAATTGCATTTAAATATATTTTTTTTATCGTGAATTTAAATCGTTTTCTATTTACGTTCATAGATTTATCGTGCTTACGATCATATTTTATGCTGCACTTTTTCAACGCAACAACTTAGCGTCATCTGGCAATGTCAGAACGCATAGTATAAACGAAAACACTGGCGCCCTCTACAGACGGCTCAGTTGAGTTTTTTTGTGATTGCGATTGTATTTTACGTTTCATATTTTTGTCGCAACAGCTTAGCGTCATCTGGCAATGTCAGAACGCACAGTATAAACGCAAACATTGGCGCCCTCTACAGACGGCTCAGTTGAATTTTTTTTTTTGCTTACGATCATATTTTATTTTGCACTTTTTCAACGCAACAGCTTAGCGTCATCTGGTAATGTCACAACGCGCTGTATAAACGAAAAAGTGGCGCCCTCTACACATAGCTCAGTTGGATTTCTTTTGATTACGATCATATTTAATGCTGCACTTCTACAACGCAACAGCTTACTCGATTGGGCGATATCAGCGCCCCAACGATGGCTGTGGCGCCCTCTACATACAGCGCACTTAAAAATTGTTGTTTTTCTGGTTACGATCACATTTTTCGCTTTGCACTTTCGACGCATCAGCACAGCGACACTTAGCCACATACTGCGTTATCAGCGCGTTCTTACTGTGGCGCCCTCTACTGAAAATTTTCTTTCAATTATATTGTTATAATGACTAACGTTTCTTAGTTATTTCTGAATTATTTTGTTATTTCAATTGCATTTTTCGTTTCACTCGCAACAGTGCAGCGCTATTTAGCTACACAGCGCACTTCAAGCGAACTATATATTGAAAAACTGTGCCGCCCTCTACTCTCTGTTCAGTTGAAAATTCTGTAGCTTAACGAAAACTGTGTCGCCCTCTAGTGCAAGCACATAGAAAACGTTGGTTTTCGAACTTAATGCAGCGCAGGCAAATAAATAACCGATAGATTTATTTGCAGTTCGTTTCTTTAACGCCTCTTAATAATTGCTATAGAGCCAGATATAGTTTAGTGTATATATTAATTAGTGCACTTATATTTATCATTTAACAAATGCTATTAATTCTTCAATTGTTCATTATAGTTGTAGTTTAGCTGCACATCAGCTGGTGCAGCTCGCAGCGCATATCGACAGGCATTTTTAGTATTTTGTAGTATTTAGTTATCGCTCGGAGAGCGCAACATGTGTCTGCCGCTCTCAGTGCGGCGAGCTGCCACCTATTGACAGTTGTTGTATCGCATTTGAAACGAACGGAGGTGACGCGCGTTCAGCTGCCGGCGCTGGCTTAGACTTTGTTTTTGTTTTTGTTGTCTCGATGCTCGCGCCGTTTGTTTATCGCGTTCTTTTTTATTGTGTGTTTGTGATTTTGTTTATTTCCAACTGTGCTGCTGTGCGAATTCGCGTGGCTGAAGCGAACGCAACTATTGCAATGCTGTAAAATACAGTTAAAGCGCCAAAACGTAACAAAAACAAGAAGAAGCACAAGCACAAGCAGAAGCAGCAAAAGAAGCAGAAGAAGAAGAGCACAGCAAACAAAAATCTGTTAATATTTATTATTTTTTTGATGTTCAAGTGAAAGCGTGTGAAAAATAATTCAACTCAACGTGTTCGCCAAGCTGCGAGGCCAAAGTCAAAGCCAAAATCAAAATCTTGGCCAAATACGCAAATTGGCTCTCTCCCTTTCTCTCTGTCTCTCTCTCTCTCTCTGTCTCGTTCGTGTGCATCCTGCGGCCAACCAAAACTTCCGGCGAGCAAATGCAACCGCAACTGTTGCGCCCGTCGAGGACTGTTACAAACCCAGCTGCGATTCCATCAGTTCACAAAGGTAAGTTACAGGGTATGTGTCAGTTGCAGGGTATCTATAAGCCAGTGAAGTGCAAAGAGGCAATAAGATTGTGCTTCTTTTGTCTCTATTGGAGCATAATCTATCGTGGTTAATGCAAGCATTACCCGGCTTTGCTCGTGCGAATTATGTTCAAGCAAGCATTACCCGGCTTTGCCCGTGCGATTTATTTTCTTTTGGCTTTTAATAGATTTTGCTTGCAGATTTTCCAAGTAAAACTTTACAAAGTATTTCTAGCAGATCGAATATATTTTGGGCCATTGTCTATATACACTAAGACCAAAAGATTTCACTCAGAATGTTGGATTTTCCTCAAAATTAATTCCAACTTTCTTACTTGCCAGGCTTATTTAAACATTCATTTCCCATTGTATAGACTTACAGCTTCCTAGCTCTTCCGCCTTGGCCTGTTCATTGCTCATCAATCAATCAATCAGTCAGTCAGTCAGTCAATCAGCTTGATCTTGGGTATGCATGTCCTCTGTTTATGAATCTCCCATGGTGTATTTATTAATCTCCCTTGTTGTTAACTTACATCACATAAGCTGCCTAGTTCTTTCGCCTTAACCTGTGCCTTGCTTATCAATCAGTCAATCAATCACTCAGTCAGTCAATCAGCTTGATCTTGGATATGCATGCTAAGAGGCATGCCCTCTATTTATGAATCTCCCCTGGTGTTAACTTACATCACATAAGGTCCCTAGTTCTTCCGTCTTGCTTATCAATCAGTCAATCAATCAGTCAGTCAGTCGGTCAATCAGCTTGATCTTGGGTATGCATACTTACAGGCATGTCCTCTATTTATTTTCGAAATTTCACATAGATCGACCTCCAAGCAGCCGAGTTACCATGGATAGTATTTTGGTTGGGTTGATTTTGGAACATGATTTTCACATGATCTGCTTATAAGGCATATGCTAGCATGTACTCCTTATCCAATTACAGTTATTGATGTAGAGTTCTTGCTTGATTTCAAGCGAGCCCCGTTTGCACATTCAACACATTCAACGCATGCAACGCATGCAACACATGTGATTCGATTTCATGGCCGTCTCTTTGCCGCTTTTTGTAATGATTTTGCGGCCATTTTCGAGTATTTTGTTCTGTTTTTTTTTTCTCTCTTCTTTTTTTGGTAAAACTTTTGTAATGTTGTTTGTTATGTTGCTGTTGTTGTTGTTGCTGCGGCTTCATTGCGCGTCTTCTTTGGGGTTTCGGGGTCATCATCTCTTTCAACGTTGCCTGCCAAAAAGCCAAAAAAGTTGCGTGCCAATCTCTCTCTGTTGTTGTTGTTGTTGTTGTTGTTTTAGTGCCATGTACGATATGCATTGCGTTAAATATAAAATGTTAACAACAAGAAAAAATAACAAACATATAACTGACATATCTGCAAATACGATTTGTACGTGCATATTCGCTTGCCAAATGTCTGAAAAAGTTTCATTAACAAATTCAAGCTGTTGCAATTGTTGTTGTTCTTGTTTTTTATACCCTCTACCAAATGGCCAGCAGAAGGCATCCCAGCGACTAGAAACTGGAGAATAAATGGAGAGCCTTAGTATCTGGTATTTACAGGAGTTGAAGTGTCATCTGAAAATATCATAACGTTCGGGCTGTAAATAAACAAGTTAAGAGTTCCCACACTATAAGGAATGCGTTCCCAGTTAACTTCGGCGTCTACAGTCCGATTGTTTTGAAGTTTTCTGGGCTTAAATCTGACATGCTAACGTGTGCATATACTAGAGCACATGGCATGCTTAAGACTAAGTTCTTTCTTATTTTGGGTTAGGTATACAAAAAATGAACTATTTTCTATTTGTGTATACTCTGCGAGAAGCTAATTTCCAAGTCGGATGCATATCGCGCTAATATTTCTCGAGATATGCACAAAAAACGAGCACAGGGTATCGCGCAGTCGCGCATGCCCCATTGCAGCACAGCATTTTGATGGAATGCGTCTGGTGCGTGGACTTGATTTTTATGGCTTCGGCTCGACTCGATTAGATGCGTTCGCTTCAGCGAAATTTGCGACATTTGCATAATCGAGCGAGCAACAGGCCCAGACAGCGTCTCATAACCTCAATTCGAGACGCAGCCAGGCCCACAGGCCTAGCCCCAGCCCCAGCCCCAGCCCCAGCCACAGTCCCAGCCCCAGCCCGCTGCCTCCGATCCAGCTCGAGGCCCGGCTGCAACTTCAGGTCCCGCAGTAAATTGCATTGCGTGTAATTTGTTGTCCCCAATTGCGTAAAATGTACGCAGCTGCTGTCGCTGCATCGATTTTCACCTGCCACAGCCCCCTTGCCCGCTCTTCTGCCCCGCCTTGGCTGGTTAATCGATGAGTGCGAAACTGCCGTTAAATATTGGCACAGTAAAGTTTCTTAATTACCAAAAGCTCGCTCTGACACAGTGCAAAATCTTTCGAGTTTCTGCATATTCTCGCTGAGGCGTGCCCGATTTCACATATGCCTACTCAGTATCGATATCTAAAACAATCGATGATTTCGATTGTTATCGATTTAGATGATAAATAGAAACAAATATAGGATTTTCTTTAAAAATAAGTAACATTTCCAATACAATTCATGTGAGATCAGGGTAAGATTAAAATGCGTTTAGGTTTTTTGCGATCCATCGATACATCGATATAATCGATAGGCCCAATCGATTGTTTTCCAGCTCTACTGCTCAGTCCATCCGTATGTCCAGGTCTAACACGTCTGTCTCTTTGCACTAAAATAGCTTGAGTTTACATTTTAAATGTATACTCCCGCATGCCGAATGATATATCGTTCAATTTTGAAAATATCGATAAATATCGATTTCGAGACTTGGTTTTTTTCGAGCTAAATACCTGAACTTTGTTGTGCACACTCTCTCAAAGACTGAGCATATTTTACTTTTCAGCTACCTTCTCCAATTACGCCGAATTTCGAAGCGAGAGTCGTGTAGAGTCATCGTTTTTTGTGCATATCTCGAGAACTATTAGCGCGATATGCATCCGACTTGGAAATTAGCTTCTCGCAGAGTATACACAAATGAAAAATAGCTCATTTTTTGGATACCTAACCCCAAATAAGAAAGAACTTAGTCTTAAGCATAGAGCCTTGTGCTCTGGTATATGCACACTTTAGCATGTCAGATTTAAGCCCAGAAAACCTCAAAACAGTTTGGACTGTAGACGCCGGAGTTAATAGGGCACGGGTTTCTTATAGTGTGTTTCTTGTGTTCGAACTTCGCAGTAAGGGACAGCTTGGGATCAGGGTATCAGGGTGTTAATTAGAAAAGAACTCATCAGACTTTATTATTTTATTAATGTCTTTGATTGGTTTTCGTTCTACAAAAGCAATGGAAACGCCGTAAACGGAATAGAAATTTGGAACTTGAACTAACGACTAGAATTCCTGGATGCACCGATCATTTTGTCCAGCTGCTCCTCGCGCTCCTGCCGGCTGAGTATGTGGAATAGACGATGCGTCTTGCTGACCATGGCCATCTCAAAGTCGTCGGACTTCAGCTGGTTGCCCAGCACCGTGGCCAGACAGTTGATGGCCAGCTGCCGTGTCATCTCGTCGCTGAGATTCTTCTTGTACTTTCTGTCCAAATAGGCGAGGGCATCCAACATTTGGGTGCCCACCGCGGTGGCCCGGTAGCCGCAACAGTAGCCAGCCGGATCGGTCTTGTAGACGCAGGGCCCGAGCTCGTCGTCGTAGGCGATCGTCACCATGCTGCAGCCGAGCGGACGCATCTCGGCATTCTGCGTGTACACCTGACTGATGTCGCCCATGCGGCCGCAGAGCACATCGACGGGCATGCTGTAGCCGTATCTGAATTGAAAGCTGCCCGCCTCGTAGACGGCCTTCTGCACCTGGGCCCGGGCGTCGGCCATGCGTCCGATCATGCCGCAGCCGATCTGCTTGTTAATGGAAAACAAACGTGTCACAGTCTCTGGCACAATGAGCCTGTCCAGCCGCTTCTGCTGTACGATCAGCACGGCACAGGTGGCGCCCCGTATGGCAACGAGCGTCAGGTTGTCCAGCGCGAGTGCCCGGAATGCATATTCCACCTGAAACAGCCGACCTTCTGGCGAAAAGACGGTTATGTGTCTGTCAAAGCCTGCGGCGCTGCCTCGCGCCATCCTGTATTCTATAAATAATATACTATATATTCGGCACTTGTCAAATCAACAACTTGGGCGCCGACTGCTTTTCGCTCTGCTCGATTTATTCAGGTGCTTAGCTCTGATATTCCAGTAAGAGGTGGGAAATGAGAAAGTATTTGAGTTGGGACAAGTAAATGCCCGAAGAAGTTCACTTTTAATTGAATATGTACAATATCTAAGGTACTAAACTTATCTTGTTAGACCCTAAACCCATTGAAAATGGGTCAGCTAGAGACTTGAAATATAAAACGTCGCAACTCCTTCTGCTCGCACAATATAAGTTTAGTGCCGATAAACGATAACTTGTCGCGTTTTCAAGCAATCGATAAGAATCGTTATCGAAAAACTCTTTTTTTGAGCAAATCTCATTGGTTTCAATAGTTAGGGTATTATCTCTCTTTTATCAAAAACCCAACATTAGCTGTTAACACAGTTTTCCTTGAAGTCCCTGAATATATCTTCATATGTCTTCATACCAGCTGAAGCTTAATGTGATCGAAGCTTTTCGAAGATTGTTTAAGCATAAGACCTCAATTGTTGCCGCAAATTGTCATTGTTATCAACGTATTATCATTAGACATTAGCTCTGGGGCGCTATTAACTAACTGTTGTCTATTTAAGTGCTGTCATTGTTGTAGTTGTTGTTGTTGTTGTCGTTGTTGCTGGAACTGGAGCAATCTTAAAGAGAGTTGCGGACTACGCGGAGTACGCATGGAGTATGTTAATTCAGCGATTGTTCAACGCAAATTGCGTGAGACTCATTCAAAGACGTTGACCTATTATACAGGGAGCATTCTGAGAGAGAGGGGGAGATATAGTGGGGAGAGTGAGAGACAGAGGTGGTGAGTGATAGAGGGGATGGACAAATAGAGAGAGAGAAACTAAATATATATTTATATATAGAGAGAGATAGTTGGGAGATTTATACATATACATGTACACATAGGAAGAGAGAGAGAGAGAGAGAGAGAGAGATAGAGATAGAGATAGAGAAAGTGAGAGAGGGGCTAATATGGTATATATATGCATAGAGACATATGTGGAGGCACAGAGAAGAAGAGAGAGGTCGGAGTAGAGAGAAAGAGAGAGAGAGAGAGAGAGGGAGAGAGAGAGAGAGGAGGGGAGGATGCATAGAGAAAGATATGGAAGCACACAGCGTAAGATAGATAAAAAGTTAAATATATTTACTTTGAAGCAGAATATGGCAAAGGATATACTCCCGTCTCTGAGAGTTCCCCTTAGCGAGCGAGCACTGTATTTCAGAGTCAAGAACTCATGACTAGCTCGCTGCGAGTAGCTGCAGCTGGAGTTTAAGTGTATATCGACTGCTGGTGTATTATTCCAATCCACAACAATTCCTATCGAACTGCTACACAAATGGACTGTAAATGACGATAAACAGCAACAAGAGGGGGAAGTGGGGATGCTGGGAAGGAAGGGGCAGCCCATCAAGTGCATAAATATCTGCAGCGGCAGCAATTAAAGCTACCAACAGCAGCAACAATGTATTAACTCCCCCCCCCCCCCCCCCCTACAACCCGCCTCTGCTCTCACTCCCACTTACCCCCCGCACGTACAGCCCCCCCCCCCCCCCCCGCCCTTTTGTTGTTCTGCTTTGTTTTCAAAGAAATTACAAACAAAAAGAGAGAAAATTGTAACAAAATTCAGCTTCGGCAACAATTTCTCGCAGTTGTTGTTGTTGGCTTTATAATGCCAGCAAGAAATCTGATAGATCGGCAGGCACGTGCTGCTTGGCTAGCAAACAACAATTTGCATACACTACCCGAAGCTGGGCATCAGAACTTGCGCGAAAAGTGCAGGGCAATCGTAATGTACGCCTTTTCCTTCCTTGTAAAAAACCCATCATTATAAATAATATAATAACTCGTAACTCTTCTCCCTTCCCTCTTCTCATTCGGATCGAGTCCACGCAATTAATTCGAATTTATTGCCAAGCTCTGTTGTTCCTTATAGAGTATATTCATGTCGGCTTGTCGCCGCGCACATTTCCAGTCTTTATAGTTTTGGCATCTTGAAACGGGCGTTTCCAGCGGCCAGTGTAAACAATAAACAGATCTTTGAATATGCTGCATATGCGGCGGGCACGCACACACACACACACACACATACTATATACATGGGCGTATCATGCTGATATGGCCGCCTCGGTTCAGGTCAGTGGTGGCTTCTGGCTAAAAGCAACAAGAGCACGGCCCATATTCAATGCGTGGAGCAGGAGAAGGAGGAGGAGGGGGCGATCTACAAAAGCCGATCGCTGCTTAGGGAAGAACAAGAGGCAGAGTAATGTGTGCGTGTGTGGCTGAGTTCTTGGCGTTTACCAATTGCAGCGATTCCAATTGGATTTGGCATTTTCTCACACACAACGCTCGGGCGTTTATACGCTGCGCTTTGTATTGTGTAAATTGGCGAGCGAAATTAACATGGCTCGTTGGTCTAGGGGTATGATTCTCGCTTCGGGTGCGAGAGGTCCCGGGTTCAACTCCCGGACGAGCCCAAATCATTTTTTTCCCTCACTTCTTTTTTCATATTTGTGCCTTCTCTTGCGTTTTGTTTTGATATATTATAATAATAGAGATTGCTATCGGGGTGTCATTCAAGCTGCGGCTCGTTTAGCATTCATCTTCGAGTCCCGCTCTATTGATGGCAGCGTGTGGTGGAAAGGGGAAGGGACGGGAGCGGGGTATGTCTATCAACCATTTGTCATTTGGCCACGGCGCGGCTGCTTGGTGGGCGTCAAAGTTGCCCCCCCCCCCCCCCCACACCCCCGCACTCTCCACGAGTTTGGCGTGAATGAACTGTAACTGATGAAGAAGAAGCAGACGACGATGATGATGATGCTCATCATGGAGTTTCATGTAATTACATGTTTGATGCTGATCTTCGGAGTTGCGTGTCGTTGTTGTTTTTTTTTCGGTTTTTTTTTTTGCTTCTTCTCGTGTTCGGTCAGCACTTGGGGCGAGCAAATTTCAACAACATCTCAACTAAGACACAGATTTGGGCTGTGCTTCAACTGGATTTGGATGTGGTCGTGGTCGTGTTTGTGGTTGTGGCTGCAGGAGCAGCAGCAGTTTTTTGTTTCTTGTTGGCCTGTTAATCGATTTTAAATTGCAGATTGATTGATTAAGATATGAGCAGGAGCTGCTCCAGTTGCAATCCTTCTCCCTCACTCTCTCTCCCTCTCCCTCTCTCTCTCTTTGTCTTTCATTTCTTCCCGCAGCCACTTGAGCTGCACTCCCACAATTCAGTCAAGTGGCTGCTCTTGAGCGTTACAAATTTCTCACAAATCAAAGAACTGAACTGTTGCTTCCCAGGCCCAAAGCCAGCAGCTGGACTAATTGAAATTGTGGCAAGCGCAGCGATAAGAATACAATTCGACTCACAAATATCCACAGAGAGAGAAACAGATATTGAGAGCGTGAGTGAGAGCGTAAATACTCAATCGCATGCATCATTTGCTTGTTAGAGCCACATTTCAACTTGCGTGAATTATCAATTTTGCTAAAAGCTACCCGACGCTAGATGGCGTCTTGGCTGGCATTGCTCTGTCGTTTGTTGCTTATTCTAGCCCCCTTTTCTAACCCCTCTCCACACGCGCAACTAGAGCGCATTATCAACATTGAAAGCCGCCCGACGCTAGATGGCGCTTTGGCTGGCATTCCTCAATTGTGTGTATTTCAGTTCGGTTTGCGCATATTTCCGATGCCGTTGACCGCTGCCAGCCCTCCCCTACACCCTGTACCCACCGCTGCGCTTGCCCCAGTTGCACCTGCAGCTCGCATAATATCCGTTAAATGGCTTTTGGGAGATCTTTTGTTCATTGTTCGCGCCGCACGTTCATTTTCCACGATGCTGCACGCAACTGCGATTGGATTTTCTTGGACTCCTCGGATTTTCGTTATGCGGCCGACTCATGCCACCAAATTACGTTAATGATTAACGAATCGCTTCGAACCAGGATCCATGCATGCCCACAAACATTTATCGTAGATATATGTATATATGAATATAAAGATATGCAGCGCGACGGCTTTCCGAAAACAATTAAAAAAAAAAAACAAATAAATACGAGAAAAAGAAACCCATTAAAAAATGTTAATTTCCATAAAAGACTGGAGTGATACAGCACGTGGCTAAAAGCCGCAAACCAGCCAACAGACAAGGCCCAGAATTTCTAGCCAAGTGTGCGTGTGTGCGTCTGTGTGTGCGTGTGTGTGTGTGTGTGTGTGCTTGGTTGTTTAATTTGTGTGTGGAATGTATTGCGGGCAGCGCTCGCTTCAGTTTTGTGGCTTTTAATTTGCTGCCAAAAATATGTGAAGCAAGACTGCTCTAGAGTTCGACTAGCTGATACCCTGTAAATAAAAAATAGACTGCTAATAGACTAGTTGATACCCTGTAAACGGCGGAAAAATTCTTTTTAAATATAAAAAAAGACTGCTCTGCAGCTCGACTAGGTGATACCCTGTACACGGCGGGCGTGTACTAAGTGGAAAGGCAATAGAAAAAACAAATAGTTTATCTATCTTATAGTGTAAGGTAAGCCCAATTTACCAACTTGTCAGTGGGTATAGGGTATAAAAAATGCAAAAAACCAAAAAACCAAAAAAATAACAAAGAAATATGCGTTAAAAATTAACATAAACGCCCACGATCTGGCGATACGAGACTCGATCGGGCGATGCTAGTCGCGGTATCGAGATATCAGATTTAGCTGCGTCTTTCGAGTTATAGTTAGGGCATCTTTTGGCAGCTTTAGTGCGTGTTTGTTGGCTTGTTTGGCTGATTTATAGTCTTGGCCATAATTATCTGGTCTAAGGTGTTGCTAATGGCCAAGATGTGCGCTGCGGTTGGGGCTTGTCCAATCAAGCTCACATTTGACAGCTGCGGCATCTCGACAATTTGCATACCTCAAGCCCAGTCTAATGGAGATGCTGGACAAGGCAGTGTGAAGGGGTAGGGTAGGGGGGGGTAGATGGTAGGGCGGAGAGAGGCATGCCCAGTTATGACAGC